ACTACCAACAAGCGAATCTATATAAGATACATGGTAATCCTCCCTGCTCCATAATATATCATATAATTCAGAATATTTCAAATTTAATGACATTTTTGAAAATCAACTAACGCTTGGTAATACTTAGAAATATTTTTTAATGTTTTACAACAAGTAAAAAAGAGTGTTTATTAATTATTAAAAACCAAAGCTACATTGAAGTGGAGATTTTTTTGAATAATTATCAAATATCCGTTTTGTTTGTAAATAATTATTAAATAAAAAACACTCTCTATTCATCCACTTTTAATTACACCGCACTTTTATCTTATTTTATACCTATCATTTGAATGATGGACGTGAAAATTTTTTTAAATATTTAATAATATAGCAAAACTGTTGTTCTGTAATACTTTTGTGTTACAAAAATATATACAGTGTGCTTGAGATTGTAGGCGCCTGCAGCCTGGGTCGCACAAGCGGAAATCATCCTTGAAGCCAACGGTACCACGGACGATTCGCAACGGTACATCGATCTCGTCAGCGCGCTCTCAGGTCAAGTGGTGTCGGAGCTGTCCGACATTATCGCCAACCCTCTAGTGACGGGCCGGTTCAAGGCGATCAAAGAAGCGATTATGTCTTGTTTCCAGGACTCAGCCGACGCCCAGCTGCGTAAACTTTTTGGGCAGCTTTAACTAGCAGACTCCAAATCTTTGCAGCTCCTCCGCCAAATGAAGAGTCTCGCTGCTGGCGAGGTCACAGACGAGATCTTAAAGGTTAGATGGCTCGATTTTCTCCCTTTACAGGTCAATGGTATCCTCCGTATTATAAATACGGCTTCCCTCGATGAGCTCAGCAGCATGGCAGACGAGCTCATAGCCTCTCTACCTAACGTCAACGCCGTGGCTACTCCACCAGCTCCTACGATGGGGCCTGTACAGCCAGCCAATTCTGGTCTTTCACAGGAGGTCGCTGAGCTACGCGAGATGCTCAACCAACTGCTCTTGGACAAGAAACAGCCTCGCGGCCGGAACCGATTAAGGTCGCGCTCTAGAGGAAGAGTCAACCAGGCAGCGAAAAACGCCGCAAACCCAGACTGGTGCCGGTTCCACCAGTGGTTTGGGGCAGCCGCAAAGAAGTGCTGTCCACCGTGCACCTTCGGTTTGGCTGGTTCGGAAAACCTGTGAGGCCGCCTTTGTCCCAAGTGGCGAAGGCGGGCCAATCCGAACCCTCGGTGAACCGCTTTCATATCTTCGACCGAGAGTTCCGGGTAAATTTCCTGGTCGACTCTGGGTCCGTCATCTCGCTTCTTCCCAGGCACCTCATCAAGGATCGGAAACTGCAACGTCAGCCGTTGATGCTCACGGCTGTTAACGTCTCGCCGATATCCACATACGGCACACACATCCTGTCAATAGGCTTCTTGACGCATTTCGGGTACCTGGTCAACGTCAAGGGTAAGCGTCTCATTGACTCAACGACCAAGCTTTTCTCGCTTGTCTCCCTGGCTCCTGCATAGGTGCACAGAGTGTCAGTGGCGACGACTCCAGCGCAGGCTCCACCTGGAGACCTGGGACGCTGTTACTCGGACCTCCTCGCGGAGTACGCAGAGGTTTGCTCCCCAGAGGCTACCATGGCAGCGCTTCCTGACCTGCCAGTGCACCACACCATCCACACAACAGGCCCGCTGGTCGTTGAACGTCCTTGACGTCTACTTGGATCGCGTCTGCAGGCAGCCAAGGTGGAGATAGGACGTCTCCTGGAGTAAGGCATCGTTTGCCCCTCGTCCAGCCAGTGGGTGAGTCCTCTCCACCTCGTCGAGAAGTCCAGCGGGAGCTGGAGAGTCACTGGAGACTACCTGCGTCTGAACGCCTGTACTACTTCAGACCACTACCCCCTGCTAATCATTGACGATCTGCTGCAGGAGGCATTTGGAAAGGTTTTCTCCGTCATACACTTGCGAAAGGCCTTCTACCAGATCGCTATTACTCAAGAGGAAATTCCGAAGACGGCCATCACGACTCCATTCAGCCTCTCTGAGTTCACGAGGTCCTCCATGGGACTCCGCAACTCAGCGCAGTCACTGCAGTGGACGATGGACCACGTCCTGCGCGAGCTTTCCTTCGCCAGGTGCTATCTGGACGACATTTTGTGGCCTCTGATAACCACGAGCAGCATCTCCAGCACCTGCGCCAGCTCTTTGAAGTCTTACATAAGGCGAAGCTCCGCGTAAACCCATAGAAGTGCGTCCTTGGGCAGAACCAGGTCAACTACCTGGGCTATACGGTGTCTGCCGACGGCGTCCGCCCTCCAGCACGCAAAGTCCAGGACATCCAGAAATTCCCAAGACCAAGCAACTCCTCCGAGCTCCGACGCTTTCTAGGCATGGTTAACTTTTACAGGCGTTGTATACCCAAAGCTGCACGTGTCATGGCTCCCCTCAATGACTTATTGAAGGACCTGCCACCCGGGAGTAAAAAGGCTTCGCTCATCTGGACACCCGAAGCCGACGCCGCCTTCCAACAGTGCAAGGAGGCACTGGCAAGAGCTGCTACGACAACGTTCCGCAGGCCAAATGCTCTGGTCGCCTAGAGGACCGACGCATCTGACACCGCTATCGGAGCTGCCCTAGAGCAGGAGTACCCGCGTGGCACCTGGGGGCCACTTCGTTTTTTTTCAAGGAAGCTTTCCGAGACCGAGAAGAGATACGCAGCCTACGACAAGGAGCTCCTCGCCATCTACGCCTCAATCAAGGTCTTCGAACGAGTGCTCGAAGGACGCCCATTTACAGTCTACAGGGACCATAAGCCACTCATCTTTGCAGGACTTCATCGCTCCGACAAAGCCTCAGCGAGACAGGCTCGGCAGCTCGATTATATCCTGCAACACCAGGTAACTCTTGCTCATGTCAAAAAAGAGGACAACATGGTGGCCGATGCCCTTTTGCGCATCAACGCTGTATCCATACCCTCAATCCTGGAGCTCTAGGTTGTAGCCAATGCTCAAGCCGAGGATGACGAACTCCATCATCTACTGGAGGACCCTTATCTCGACCTGCAGCCGCTCACCATCGATGGTCATCGCATTTTTTGCGACCTCTCCACGGAAAACCTGAGGCCATATTTACCCGAGAGTTCTCGCAAGACAGCGTTCGAGGCTCTTCACAACCCTGCGCATCCCAGCGTCAGAGCAACGGTCCGACTCATCTCAGAAAAATTCATGTGGTCCAAAATGCGTAAAGCCGCTATACGCTGGGCCCAGCAGTGCGAGCCCTGTCAGCGTGCCAAGATCAACCGACATAATCGGTCAGCTCTAGGCGATTTTAACACGCCAGATGGCCGCTTCGATCATATCCACGTCGACCTGGTGAAGCTTCCTCTCACCAGAGGATTCCAATACTGCCTGAACATCATAGACAGGTTCTCCAGATGGCCAGTTTTCGTATCCATACCGGATCAAGAGGCCTCAACTGTCGCCAAGGCTCTCTACAACGAGTGGATCGCTTGTTTTGGGACGCTGCTCACTATCACCTCTGACCAAGGTGCCCAGATCGAGTCAGCTCTTTTCACCGAACTTGCCAAGATGATTAGTTCTCGCCGCATCAGGGTGACGCCCTACCACCCACAATCTAACGGGATGGTAGAGCGCTTTCACCGAACTTTCAAGGCCGAACTGATGTGTAACCCAGACGTCCCTTGGCCAGATGCACTGCCTTCAGTCCTTCTTGGTTTGCGCACCACCTTCAAGGAGGATCTCCAAGCATCACCAGCCGAGATGCTATATGGTACAACACTGAGAGTGCTGGGCGAGTTCTTCACTGTACAGAGCAATCCAGCCGCTAACCCACCCTCTTTCGTCCAAGGCCTACGCCATAAAACCTGTGCAGGCCTCCAGGCACTTGCCGCCACAAAAGTCGTTCGTATTCAGCGACCTGCAGAGGTGCTCTCACGTCTTTGGACGCATCAACGCAATCCGGAAGCCCCTGGATCCTCCATACTCCGGGCCGCACATGGTTATCCGTCGCGTCGACGAACGCAATTACACTATCGAGGTGAACGGCCAGCCACACACGGTCTCCACGGACACGCTAAAGCCAGCCTACTTTGAAGCAGCCGATCTTGCAGTCACAGAACCTGACAGCGCTGCTCAATCACAACCTACAGGACCACCGTCTACAGGATTAACCCCTAAAGCACCACTCACAGATGCCAGCCACTCTGGAGAGCACTCTCTACAGCCGATGCCTGCGTCTGGCCCACCATTAACGCCTTCTGAAGCCCCACAGCCCACCCAATCCTTCGCAGAGCCAACTCTGACAACTGCCAAGATCAGAAGAGTATCGTTTTGTTTGCCTTTGGCAAACAACACTAGAGGGGGAGTCCCTGTGGTGGCACCAGCCAGCCGAAGCCAAAAACCAGCTTCGCGCCGCAAGCAACAGCTCATCCCGTGAGCGCTGTGGTAGCGCGCTCTAGCAAAGAAGGCCGTCAACAGCTCGAGCCCCCGCTTTCCTCAGCAGCGCCTACCTTTAGGTGGCGACGAAGAGAGCGTAGCTCGTCCTCACTCTCGCCCCGCGTTTCGATCAGCGACAACGTAGGCATGCGCCTCACTTACGGTCAACGCTTCGAGACATTTCCAATGTTACTATGACTCTTTCTCTACACAATGATTTGTTTTGTATCAATAAATTGTAAGCTTTAATAAGTGATGAGTTCTTTCTTCCACGACCTGGCATTCTACCTCCGGCATCCTTGAGTACCGGGAACAGGCTCACTCGTGACTTTCCCATATATATATATATATGCATAAAATAAACGTCTGTCACTACTATAATTATTATTTCACAAAACTCATAATTGAACTATTTATGCAAAACTCTAATGAATACGCAATGCATTCTCTCTATATGACAGTATTTTTTTTAGATCAGTAATTTCATGATATGCTTCTGTGCGTAAAAATAAACATACTTAAAAGGCAAGTACTTTAGTTATCATGCTTTTAAAATTATTTTCCAATTTTAGGTAAGGCTCGTTCAAAAAAAAGACACTGGACATGTATATGCAATGAAAATACTTCGGAAAGCTGACATGCTTGAAAAAGAGCAAGTTGCTCACGTAAGAGCAGAAAGAGATATTCTTGTTGAAGCTGATCATCAATGGGTTGTTAAAATGTATTACAGCTTTCAAGATCCAATAAATTTATACCTTATTATGGAGTTTTTACCAGGAGGTAAGGAGTTTTTACCATGTTCGTTAATACTTCAAACTTTTTATTTGCTCTGACACTACCTCAAGGTGGTCCCTATTGTTGAACATTTGATTCGCTATGATTATTAAAACTTCATAAGTCATTTTTGATGTTGCCATGACTACATTTGAATGTTTTCACATTTTTGAACGCGTAGTTTATCAGATGTTATACTTTTAAGTTAAAAATATAACACATGAGATGTCGAAAAAGGACACTTTGTTGAGTATTTTCAAAACTTGATTTACCATATTCATGAGAAATAGACCAGCGTATTGAGGAAAAAGTGAACATTAAAAAAAAAACTTAGAATGAACAGTAAAAAAGTTAAAATATGACTTAAACTCTGTGATATTCTTTTCAAGTGGTGAGAAGCCGGTCCACTGAATTGCCAATCCATTTTTTCCTGTTGCACCTAAGGATTTGAAAATTAATACACGTACTCGAAAAACATAAAAAAACAATGTCGGATTGAAAAATTTTTTTTTTTTAACACATTTTTACCGTCAAAATATATTAAAGAATGCACTTTTAGGTTACAACTTTTTGTGACCAAACGAAAAATATTTCTAAACCCAGACAGAGTTTATTAAAAACTAGAGCATCCACGGATGTATCCTTGATTATTTTGGCAATACTTTACCTCCGATCCTTTGAGTAATAGCGAGTTTAATGCACGTTTAGTTTTTCATGATGGTTGCGTTCTTGTCTTAACGTAGAAACCACCTGTATATGTCCTAAAATATGTATGAGATACTTATTGAATATTTTACCTGTAATGCTAAACTATTATTTGATTAAAGTTATAGAGCAAAAGTAATCCAAGTTTTATCAAAACATAGGGAATACGTTCGAACAGTAAATTAAAAATCGTTACTCTCTTAAAATTAATGGAATAGTTTTTATTATAATAATAATTCTCTCTAATTTACCTTGTTCATTAATGTGGAAAGTAAAATAACGAATGTTTTATGTATTCCATCATTAACATGAACTTTAAATATGTTGAAAGCATGGTTCAACAGTTGGAAATGTGCTAATTCCAATTTCTCAAGCATCTTAAGAAAATGCATTTTGGGTGTGCTGTATGCTCAAACTCTGCAAGTAAAGGTATGGATACAGGAAGAAGAAATTAATCTTCTGAATGTAAACTTAATCGTTATGAGGGGTTGAAATAAGCCGTTATAATTATTCAATGGCGTGGAACAGAACAGCTTGAGGGGAAATATAATGAGTCACACTTATTTAAAAATAAAATAGCCATTGCTGACTTTATAATGCGAAAATAAAATAAGTACAATAATACTAAGAGTCACAAAATTTCGAGTTGGCAACAAATTGGACACCTCTAAACGTGAAGTACAAAATAAAAAAGAATAAAATTATGTGTCTGAATAAACGATTTCGACATTTTTCTCTGTTAGTTTATTAACACTTTTTCATTCATTCTTAAGATAAATAAGATCAAATATGTTTTAATAAGAATTACTTAATTATGACGCGATATGGCTCGTCATTGATCACAAATCCACAAAATGATAATCAATCTTCCAACTCACAACATTATTAATTTGCTTTATATTATATTTTAAAGACATCAACTTTTAACTGGCAGCTTAACTGATATTAAGTACTTGTATGACGTAATAAAATTAAAAAAAAATTAATTATTTATCCCCGACTTATGCTCACAAGAGCATTTAGAGCTAATTATTTCATCTATGAAGTCTTCCTCCCTCATACCACTGGACTTATATCAAAAGACAAAAATTGCACAGTTAACTATCTTCCAGTAATTTTAGTACAGCATATTAACAAGCGTATCGTATTTGAGTATTAAAAAAAATTTTAACTCAAATTAACCACAAATTAGTGAGAGAAGAACAACACGTTCAGGCAGCAGGAATCATTTGAAATCTACACACGGGCTTGTAATTACTTAAGAACTTGAATAAATGTTAAGTGTGCTCACAAAATGACGGCTAACACACTTTTAAAGACATCACGTAACTAGAATCAATTAAGTTATTCTTGGATTTACCCTACGCACAGTGGGACCAAATCCCAAAAAACTGGCCAAAAATTAAAAAATCAAGTAGTTGATCTGAAAGTTCTGACTCGGAGGTTTGTGAGGTCGCTGATTACGAATTTAATGTCAGACTTGAAAAATTTTACCCCCTTCATCCCTAGTTCACCACTCCTTTTCATGAAATACCCTATATTTTACATCGTACTTGAGTCATGCATCATTTTCAAAATTTTTGGAATTGCTTATAAAAAATCTATTATAATAATAAAACAACAAATAACAAAACCTATGCACGTCGTCTAAACAGCTACATCGTTTGTACAACATCATAATATTTGCAATCAATAAACTTTTAGGTCTTTGTTTACTAATAGTCCTCTTAAAGCATTATAAGTTGGTCTTCTGCTTACTGTTAAAGAAAAAAAAAAACATAAATGAAATGTTTGGGGATTAAGAATATATTTAAGTGTTACTTTTCAAGTCATAGTGATAACATCTTTGACAATGTAAATTTTTAGGCTCTAGTTAGTAGTAGAAATAAATTTTTTGGTTAATTTTTAAAATGAGCACACATTTTATTAAAGGCTCTAAGTTTTGAATTTATAATAAAAATATGATTCGATGAAACCATTAGGAAAAACAATGGAAGTTTTCGTCAGTTGAGTGCCATCGTATACAGGACTATTTTGCGGCCTGAGAGACCTGTGAAGCAGGGTCTGAGGGACGTAAAATAGCCACAGTGCGATGGCACTTATGTGGTGAATCATATTTTACCTACGGAGGGCACACCAGCCTCTCAAAAACGCCCAAGATATACAAATTTTTTTTTCTTACTATGCGTTCAAGGTGCATTTGCCACTTTGCGCCCTTGTAATTACTTTGAGCCCTCTGGCAGAAAAAATTTTTACCCCCAAAGTTGTTTTCTGCTCTACGACCCAAAATAATTTACTGGGAGCAAAGTGTGCCGACAGCCGCAAAATCACATTTTGCGCCTAGGTAAAAAAAACTTTACACATTACTCGAGCACAAAGATACAACAACCACGCTCTTCGGGCGCTCATGTTGAAACTTTCGGACCTGGGAAAACATAATGTAAAATTTTTGTACTCTCTGATGTACCATTAGTTATACATTACTAAAAAACAATAAATCGATTCTTCTAAACTGAAAAAATGTCAAGTTAGTAACATCTCCATTTCATACGAACAACTTTATTTAATACCACTGAGTTATTCCAGTTTTGATGTGAAGAGTATGACAGTAAGTGTTCCTCTAATTTAATACAAGTGAAAATTCAATGACAACTGAATCTAAAGGCATTCAGGTCTTTATTTCATGTCCTAATAAGTCTAAATGATATTACCTTAATGTAAGGTAAAATGGTCAAAATTTTCTTTCATTCATACGTCATTGATAGAATATCAAATGTGATTATACCTTTAACAAAACAACTAAAATTCTTTTTAACAAACTTTACCTGAAAGTGTCACAATCAACATTTATGATATCGTCAGTGACATGTTATTTTTCCTAGAAGATCCAGAAATAAATTAGCTATTCCACGTACTCCCTGCTGCAAAATTAGGATAATAGAGAATTATTGATGTATGAAGTAAAAATACTACAGAAAAAATGTTAAAATGTATCTCAAAAAAATATTTAACTAAAAATTTGACAATATCCAAACTGCAACCGGATTCTGAACAAAACGATGTTTGAGGACGAGTTTTTAAAGTTATTGATGAACACGTTACAATGATTGCTCATTGCAATTTGACTAATGAAGTTATAGTACATCAAAACAGTTATGATGAGCAATATAAAATAAATCCATTTGATAATCACAAAAAAAAAAGTTTTTATTTAACCATTATAACCCTACTTATAATGATTTAGATTTTGAGTAGGATTTTTACATAGATTTTGAGTAAACAAAGACCTATAATAGCTTATTGTTTTCAAATCAACGGTGTCTTTATCTATGAATAGATATTGCTGCCGTTAGACATACTATATGACCATTCCTTAATGGTAAGGATGAAAGGAAATCCTCGGTTAATAACAATGAATTGATCTCAATCTTTTTTAATCTGGCTAGGAGGTTTATTCAGGTGTGAAAAAATTGAAAAAATAGTGCGAGGTCCCGAAAATATTTTTTTAATCCTCGGAACCCAAAAAACCTTATTTTTTTCATCTCGGCTTCTAATAAGTAAAAAAAATCTGAAAAAATTAAAGACTATAAAAAATATCAGAACTCTTACGTAAAAATTTTTGAAGCCTCATCCAAGGTTATTATAACCTTAAAAAACATTATTTTGACTTTACAATCTGATTTTAAGCATGTTGCCTTTTTGGAACGGTCAACATTATTTTACCATCTTGTAGAGCAGAAAAATACACTCCTATGTATTTTTTCGAATTTTTTTCAGTGGTGCGCTGTGTCGAAAGTTGTGAGAAATCCTTAAATCAGCCGTTTTCAGCATGCAAAAAATGTTTTATAGCCAAACGAGCAATTTATGTGCCTATGAACTATGAATGAGGCGAGGAAGTTCATACTAATTTTCGAATTGCTAGTAAATTCTCAGAGTTTTTAATTTCTTAGATTTTGAGAGTTCCCTTTCCGCAAAAATGATTAAATTCGCAAAGTGCTTGTTGATTTCTGCTTTAAAATTACTAATTTTATTTTTCGATAATTCAGTATCTAAATTGTGTAAATTATGGTAATTTTGTATTTGATCATTAATTAATTCCAATCTCTTTTCTTGGACACTTTTCTCTTTTACAAGCTCCTTCACAAACAATTTCTTACTGCTTCTATTATTTTTCTTACTACTCACAAAATTATGTGTCAGGGTTCTCATTAAATATCGTTACATGAAAAAAAAATTGATCCGTTGTGTATTTGTAATTGTAATCATTAGATTATATTAAATCCTTACTCCATCTTTCAGAA